CGCGATCTCGGCTCACCGCAACCTCCGCCTCCTGGGTTCAGGCAATTCTCCTGCCTCAACCTCCTCAGTAGCTGGGATTACAGGCACGCACCACCATACCCAGCTAATGTTTTGTATTTTTAGTAGGGACGGGGTTTCACCATGTTGACCAGGATGGTCTCGATCTCCTGACCTCGTGATCCACCTGCCTCGGCCTCCCAAAGTGCTGGGATTACAGGCTTGAGCCACCGCGCCTGGCCCAAACCCGATTTCTTAATCTCCCTCTCCCTGGTATCCCTGGGCTCTCGCAGGCTCCCTGTGCACCAGCTCTGCGATCCTCAGTCCTTTACCGATAGACATGTGATAGCTTCATGCTAGAACTAGTTCACCTCATTAGTTCACCTAGAACTCTAACAGAGCTTACATGAACTTTGGTTTCTCATAGGCATTAGGTTTGAAAGCAGAATGATCACAATAGTTTGTTTATGGCATTTTATTTCAAGCATGTGAGTGGAAAGTTTTACACAGGACATTTCTTTGTATTCCATTTTAGAAAAAAACTGGGACATTGGAGGGCAGATTTGGAACCCCCAGGATGTGAAAAAGAGTCTTTCAAGAGAAGTCCCATCAATCAATAAGAAAATGCTGACTACACAGAATGGCACAGAACATGACAAATCTAAGAGACTATTTCGACTGAGCATAGATGATGTTTCTTCCAGACTTAGATTCCTCAAATGTGGCCCATTTGAAAAGCATTTGAACTGTAATTTCAATTCAAAAAGCTATGTACAAAACAATTCTCATAAAGATAGTGGATATAGAAAATTAGTTGGTGATAATCAATCCAAATTTGTAGGAAAACAACTTAAATGTAATCCACTTAGAAAGTTAGTCAGTTCCAAGTCACGCCTTCAGAGTCACCTGGGGATGCATGCCAGTCAGAAATCCTTTGAATGTCCTAACTGTGGAAGAGCATTCCGGGAGAAGTGGAAGCTGAATAAACATCAGAAAACTCATGCAGAGGGAAGGCCCTATAAATGTGAGAAATGTGGAAAAGCCTACAAGCAGAAGTCAAATCTCTTTCAACATCAGAAAATTCATACTAAAGAGAAGCCCTATAAATGTAAGACCTGTGGAAAAGCCTTTTCCTGGAAATCATCCTGCATTAATCATGAGAAAATTCATAATGCCAAGAGATCCTATCAGTGTAATGAATGTGAGAAATCCTTCAAGCAGAGCTCAACCCTCCTTCAACATAAAAAACTTCACAGTGGAGAGAAACCCTTTCAATGTAAGGACTGTGGAAAGGCTTTCATTTACAAGTCAGATATTGTGAAACACCAGAGAATACACACGGGAGAGAAACCCTATAAATGTAGCATATGTGAGAAGGCCTTTTCCCAGAAATCAAATGCCATTGATCATGAGAGAATCCACACTGGGAAGAGAGCTTATGCGTGTGAGCTATGTGGAAATACCTTTATCCAGAAGAAAAACCTCATTAAACACAAAAAAATCCATACTGGGGAAGAATCTTATGAATGTAATAGTTGTGGAAAAGCCTTCTTTCAGAAGTCAAACCTTCAGACGCATCAGAAAACTCACAGCAGAGAAAGGGCCTACAGATGTAGTGAATGTGGAAAAACTTTCATCCGGAAATTAAACCTTAGTTTGCATAAAAAAGTCCATACCCAGCAAAAGCCTTATCAATGTGCTGAATGTGGAAAAGCCTTCGCTGACAAGTCATACCTTGTTAGGCACCAGAAAAGAATTCACTCCAGATAGGAACCCCGTGCACTTTAAAAAACAAGGGAAAATATGGTAGCCTGGAATTGTCACCGCAGAATTCATGTTGAAATGGCCTGTAATTTGAAGGCTATCTTTGAAGGTAGTGAGGACTTATTATGCACAGTACCCTTTGAAAACTGATTTGACTTACTCAGCAAATCTTTATTAGGTATAAATATTTATTAGATGCCTTTTGTGTACCAGGAACTCTTAAACACTGAAGATGTAGCAATAAACCAAATGTGCCAAAAACCCTTATGGAGTTTTATTCCAGTGACTAATGACCAGTAGTATCCATATCTTTAAAAACGTTTAAAAGACTATACTTTTGGCCGGGTGCAATGGCTCACACCTGTAATCCCAGTACTTTAGGAGGCTGAGCTGTGCGGATCACCTGAGCTCTGATCGACACCAGCATGACCAACAGGGTGAAATCCCGTCTCTACAAAAAATGTAAAGATTGGCCAGGCATGGTTTTGGGCACTCGTAATCCCAGCTACTTGGGAGGCTCAGGAAGAATTGCTTGAACATGGGAGGTGAAGTTTGCAGTTAGCCAAGATCGCACCATTGCACTCCAGCCTGGGCAACAAGAGCAAAGCTCTATCTCAAAAATAAAAGAAAATAAATGAATGAATGAATAAATAAAATACAGTACTTTATACTTTTAGGGATCATTTCTATAATTCTTGAGTGAGAAGTTTCTCTGGAGGTATAGAGTACTGGAAACCATGACCAGGAAGTACAGCTTTCTCTCCAGAGCACAAAGCTGTCTTGGCATTGCTTCATGGGAACTGCCATTTGGCTTTCTTTTTATTTTTATTTTTTGAGATAGGGTGTCACTCTGTTGTCCAGGCTGGAGTGCAGTGGTATAGTCATAGCTCATGATAGCCTCAAAGTCTCGGGCTATCCTTCCACTTCAGGCTCCCAAAGTGCTGGGATCACACACACAAGCCATGGTACTCAGCTTATTTCTTTTCTTATAGTACTTTCCTTCTTTTCCTCTTAAATGCTAAAAATAATATGTTTTTTAAAACCTCATACGTATGTTTCTGGTTGCTCTTCTCTTTTTTCCCATAAGTACTCTGCCTAATTTTGCCCCATTCCTTATATATCACCAGGCTGTTCTCTCCTTGTACACACAGAATCCTCTCGACTTCCATCTATCTACTCACATGGCCATTTTTTTTTTTTTTTTTTTGGGAGTCTCACTCTGTCACCCAGGCTGGAGTGCAGTGGCACAATCTCAGCTCACTGCAACCTGCACCTCCCAGGTTCAAGTGAATTCTCCTGCCTCCACATCCCAAGTAGCTGGGATTACAGGAGCCCACCACCATGCTCAGCTAATTTTCTGTATTTTTAGTAGAGACAGGGTTTCACCAAGTTGCTCAGGCTGGTTTTGAATGCCTGACCTCAAGTGATCCACCCACCTTGGCCTCCCAAAGTGAAAAGGTTACAGGTGTGAGCCATCGCACCCGGCCAGCTGTTCTCTTCTTTCCCATACCTGCTCTGCCTAATTTTGCTGTGTTCCTTGTATATCAATCACCATGCTCTTCTTATCACTTTGTACCCACAAAATCCTCTCAGGTTCCATCTATCTACTCACATGGCCATTTAAAAAAAATTGTTATTTACTCCTTGCTGAATTCAAAGTCTAACACATCACCTATTGATACTGTGTACACTATATGCTGTTTAAGGCTCAGCCACTAGGCAATGTACATTTATGAGGATGGGTTTATAGTTTTATTCATATTAATAACATAAGCAACGTTTTACAGTGCTTTTGAATTCACATTTAATATACTGCATTTTCCATATAACCTTGATGTTATGCCCTGAAATTCATGGAAAATGGTAAATACAGTTGATTGCTGCAAAGCAGATTTTACTAGTAACCAGTTACAAACACATGTGGAAGCCAGCCAATGGTATATATATTGATTGGGTTATTATTTTAAGAAGTTTACAAAGGAAAAGTATTCGCTCCTTGCTTTCTTCGTGTGTCTGAAAATCATGGAGTGCTTTGACTGTTCTGACCAGACAAGCTGCCGGTTTTTCCCAAGGGCTTGAATCCAAATAAGAGCCTGAAACATTCCCAGGCACTGATAGAGGTGTTTAAGTTGTTGCCCAAAACACTGAAAGAAAATGGTCCCAGCCCTCAACCAAATTCCTTATAAACTGGTATAAACCCCACACCCTGCCAGGCGCAGTGGCTCATGCCTATAATCCCAGGACTTTGGGAGGCCGAGGTAGGCTGATCACCTGAGGTCAGGAGTTCAAGACCAGCCTGGCCAACATGGTGAAGCCCCATCTCTACTAGAAATACAAAAAGTTAGCTGGGCGTGGTGGCAGGCGCCTGTAATCCCAAATACTTGGGAGGCTGAGGCAGGAGAATCAGTTGAACCCGGGAGACAGATGTTGCAGTGAGCAGAGACCGTGCCACTGCACTCCAGCCAGAGCAAGAGACTGTCTCAAAACAAAAATTAAAATAAAATAAACCCCATAGCCTGACCCTCTCACTGCAGCAGACACACCAAGGTAGACCATCCTCCCTTCCTTATTTTTTTTTTTTGAAACAGGGTCTTTGTCACCCAGGCTGGAGTGCAGTAGTGCAATCATAGCTCACTGCAGCCTTGAACTCTGGGCTCAAGTGATCCTCCCACCTCAGCTTCCTGAGTAGCTGAGACATGCCTGGCTAAGTTATCTTTGTGGAGACAGGGTCTTGCTATATTGCCAGGTTGGTTTTGAACCCCTTTGTTCAAGCAGTCCTCCCATCTTGGCCTCCCAAAATGCTGGGATTACAGGTGTGAGCCACTGTGCCTAGCAGATGGACCATGCTTTTTTCTCTCACCATCCACCTGAAGATATGCTGCAGCACTAAGTTCCTCCTAATAAATGCTCTGGACAGGTCCCCTTGGCGTTTAGTGATTCTTCCTTTGGAATCCCAACCAGGCCGCTCTCAGAATGGTTTTGGGCATTCATTTGTTGGAATTTCTCTGCTGCCACTTTTGGGGTGCCTCTATCTAGTTTTAGGTTCAGTGGGACAAAATAAAGAAATGCAAAACATTCAATGAAAATCGTTTAAATAACATAAACAATCCATATCAACAGTATAAAAATATACCAAGATACTCCACGCATTAACAGTGTTCTTCAAACTTTCCTGAGCACTAGAGTCTCCAACAGATTGCTAGGCCACACCTCCTGTTTCTGTGCCAGTTGGTCTGGAGGGGACCCAAGAATCTGCATTTCTAGTCAGTCCCTAGCTGCTGCTGTTGCTGGTTGAAGAGCATTTTGAAAACCATCGTGTCAAAACATGAAAAGTGCCCTTCTAATCTTGTAGGGAAAATACCCTTATGGGTCTGAGTTCTGGGATCTAGATAAATTCCCCCAAAATAAGTGTTTTTCATTGAGCTTTCATCCTGAGATACTTGTTCCTCCATTCTAGGTGAAGTATAGGATTCTCCTTGCGTGGATGAAGTGAGACCCAGTGAGTCTGTCAAGCAGGTCTGTAGAAGGAGTCATTTTACTCCCCCTGAGGAATCACCTCTGCCTGTGTGCTAAGTAGCCGAGAGTTCTCTGCCTTTCTTAACAGCTCCTCAAAAATCCCATTGTGCATGTAAAAGAAGATATATCCAGAGTGAAGCCTCGCCTCCTGCATTTTGGTCTCTGAGATTTCTGATACACATAGATCGTTGTATGTGAACCAGGCCTGCTTCTGAAAGTCATATGCATCGCTGATGTAATGGCCTGAATTTGGGGAGCTCCCAATATGGCTGACAACACTGATGAGTCTGTAGGCCTGGAGAGGATCCCCCATCTTCATGTTTCCCATCAGTTCCTTGACTTCGTCTCTTGTGTTCTCTGTATCTAAAATGTCTTTGTTTCCTGGGTTATCAGAACCAAATGCCCCCAGGTGATTCAGATCAGCCTTTTGAAGTCTGAATTCTGTAGGTGGACTAAGGGTCTCCTCTGTATGTTCCTGGGCATGCAGCTTCCTAACACCTGGAGGTGGTGCCTGCTGAAGAAGTTCCTCTATGATGCTCTTCTCAATACACTGCTGGAGTTGTTCAGACATCCTTGGAGATCCTTCTGGAAACCTGTTTTCTTTACACTCATAAGAGCTATTGGTAGACTCAGTGATGCTGTCAAAATCTAACTCTACAAATGTATTGGTTTTCTCATACTTCTGAAGTTCTGGATGTTGAGGCATCTCTTGAAGGTGAACGTCGAGAAGCCTCGTGTCTGGGCTGCTGAGTGGTTTACTGCCATCTTCACAGATCATAGGAAGAGAAATGTCTCCCTGATCCATCAGTGAGTCAGCCACTGGACACTTCTTTTCACCGAATGCCCTATCTCTAAAGTTGACCGATTTTGACTCTAGTGCAGAGCCATTTTCCAGGTCTCTCTGATGCTGCTCTTGGCTTGCTTCTCCACAGTCTCTCTGGAAACTCTGAAGGTCAGCATTCTTTTCTGGTTCCATGGGTAGAACCAGGGAGTCACTGGATTCTGAGGTCAGCTTCAATGATGGTGTTAATGGGCTGATGATCTCAGAAATCATCTCCTGCGTGACTTCCAGGACTTCACATTTCCCCATGGGTGCATTACTGCTCAAGGGAAGAGGTTGTTTGGTGCTTTCATTGCAATAAGAAGATAAGCTTAAATATTTGGGAATATAAACTTGCTCATTATTCTTCACCAGCAACCAAGCATCGTTGAAGCTATAGCGCTTCAGATGAATGATAAGGACCCTGGAGAGCCTCCTAAGTGTGTGCATTGCAACACAACTCTTGTGCTTACACATCTCACAGTTATATTCAAGCTCTTCTTCTCTAAAGAAAAGATCTAAAGAATTCTGAATGGACATAGGAAGCGATTTTGTATCTTGGTGCAGGTTGATGGAGAGATAATTATTAGGTTCTACCTTGAGAACGGCATGACCACAGGCTTTACAAATAATGGAGAGTTGCAATTCAAACTCAAAATTAGCAACAACAGGACAAACAAACACTTTGGTGGCAGCATTACCAACATGCATTTGTGGAGATGAATTTTCGTCCCCATGTTCTTTCCCAGTCTTTAAAATGGCATTTAAGTTTTCCATGTCTTCTTTCAGCTGGTCTAAACATTGACCTAAAAACTCATGAGCATCATTCTGCATGTTGCCAGAAAATATTTCTGCAACTGCTGAAATGACTTTTTTAACATTCCCAAGTAATTCTTTCTTGATCTCTGTACTACAGAAATCTTTCAAAGCAAGCAGCTGGGTCAAGGTCATAATAAGAGCCTCAAAGGGAATATATTCCCACGGGACATCTTGAGCGAGTAAGTCATTAGCAAAAGACGGAATCGCAAACAGCGATTGTAAAATTGCATTCATGTAACAGGTGTTTCCCAAGTTGGGGAAGCCTTGCTGCAGTTGCTCTGAAAGAGAGTCAAGAGGCACCTGGGCTTCGTTGCATCTTGGGTCATACTGGCTGTGCTCCGGTTCTAATGGAAATGTCAAACTATTTTCGGCCTCGAGAATCTGGGTTGCAAGAAGAGTCTCATCTAGGTTAGGATTTCCATTAGAGTTGAATGAAGGCCAAAGTTCCAAATTTCTATCTTTTTCTGAGTCCTCTAAACTTGATGGATTATTCCCATAGCTTTGTATATACTTGAAGGAATCTGTCTTATATTTCCTGTTTGACACAAGGTTATGTTCCTTCAGAATGTCATCATTCATCTCTAGGTCAGATGATAGTATGTCTTTCCTCTTCCCACCTTGATTTTCTAATAATCCCTTTTTCACATATGTTGGTGATTTTGACATAAACAAAGGCATCTTCTGAGGGAAAGGTGTTTTGCCTCCTTTTTCATAACCTGGCTTGTAACAAATGTTGTAAAATGAAGTTCTGTCAATTTCCTTCAGCATATTCCTACTTTCGAACACACTCCAATCATCATCAGGTTTCATGGGTTGTTGAAGTTTGTTTCGATGGATTATGTCCAGGAACATATTCAACTGTTTAGCATCTCTGTAGGATAATTTGTCAATAAACAAGAACACATTGTTTTTCAAAGTTAAACGCAGGTGACTTTTTCTTTTTTTACGATGTCTAAGGACCACACTTCTAATATTATTACTCAGCTGAAAAATTCTTATAAATTTTCCAGACTTGAAAGTGACCACCAGTTTAATTTCCTTTTTTCTTTGCACTGTTTCAATGAGAGCTTCTTTCAACTTAGTCATCCCAGTCTGCCGGCTCCAAATTTGGATGAATCCATGCACCTTTAGAGATATCATCCTTTCTTTATGTAACCTAGAGGAAAAAAGCATACATACATTTTAACCAAAACCTTATCCACATACAATAATAACTTTTTTAGGCTTCTCCTTATGCTTTAAATAAAATACTATTTTGAGGAACTCCTTATATTCTGAAGCTATGCCAGTTCTCTAGAAGACATAGACTGAGGGCACACACTCTTTTAAGGGAGCTGTTAGGCGAGAAAGAAGATGAGGGAAGAGACATACAAATGGCCAACAGGTATATGAACAGGTGCTCAACATCACTGCTCATCAACAAAATCCAAATTTGGTTTGGCGTAGTGGCTCATGCCTGTAATCCTATCACTCTGGGAGGCCAAGGTGGAAGGATCACTTGAGCCCAGGAGTTCAAAACCAGCATAGGCAACATAGGGAGACCTCATTGCTACGTAAAAGTTTTAAAAGTTAAAAAAGGGGAGGGGCCAAGATGGCCAAATAGGAACAGCTGCAGCCTGCAGCTCCCAGTGAGACGAACGCAGAAGGCAGGTGATTTCTGCATTTCCAACTGAGGTACCCAGTTCATCTCATTGAGACTGGTTAGGCAGTGGGTGCAACCCATGAAGAGTGAGCAGAAGCAGAGTGGGGCATCGCTTCACTTGGGAAGTAGAAGGAGCAGGGAAGGGAAGCCACAAGAGACTCTGCTACCCGGCCCAGATGCTATACTTTTGCCATGGTTTTTGCAATCTGCAGATCAGGATATTCCCTCATGTGCCTATACCACCAGGGTCCTGGGTTTCAAGCACAAAACTGGGCAGCTGTTTGGGTAGACACCAAGCTAGCTGCAGGAGTTTTCTTTTGTACCCTAGTGGCGCCTGGAAACCCAGTGAGACAGAACCGTTCACTCTCCAAGAAAGGAGGGGGCCAGGTGGTCTCATTCAGTGGGTCCCACTCCCATGGAGCCCAGAAAGCTAAGAACCACTGACTTGAAATTCTCACTGCCTGTACAGCACTCTGAAGTTGACATAGAATGAATGAACTTGGTGGGGGGAGGGACATCCATGATTACTGAAGCTTTGGTAGGCAGTTTTCCCTGGACAATGCTAAGGAGAGTGGGAGGTTTGGACTGGGCAACATTCACCACAGTGTGGCAAAGTGGCTGTGGCCAGACTGCTTCTCTAGATTCCTCCTCACTGGACAGAGCATCTCTGAAGGAAAGGTAACAGCCCCAGTCAGGGGCTTACAGATAAACTCCTATCTCCCTGGGACAGAGCACCTGGGGGAAGGGGTGGCTGTGGGCACAGCTTCAGCAGATTTAATCTTTTCTGCTTGCCGGCTCTGAAAAGAGCAGCTGATTTTGACAAGAGGGATTATCCCAGCACAGCACATTGGCTCTGCTAAGGGACAGACTGCCTCCTCAAGTGGGTTTCTCACCCCCATGCCTACTGACTGGGAGGGGTTCACAGACACCTCATACAGGTGTGCTCTGGCTGGCATCAGGCTGGTGCCCCTCTGGGATGAAGCTTCCAGAGGAAGAAGCAGGAGTCAACCTTTGCTGTTCTGTGAACTCCACTGGTGATAGGACACAGGGACTGGAGTATACCTCCAGCAAACTGCAGTAGACCTGCAGAAGAAGGGTCTGACTGTTAGAAAAATAACTAACAGGCCAGGCGCGGTGGC